AAACACGCCAATTACAAAACAATTAGCTACTAGTTCATGCTGCCGGGTGGACAGATGCGGTAAGGATATTTAAGAAACCTGCACCATCGTTTCAAGCGCCGTGCCAGGAGTTCTAACCGAACCGGAGGCCTCTGGATTGCAGAAGTCCGGTGAGCCATCCATTACACCACTATGGCGGCATACACCATTCACCCAGACGACACTCCCCTCGCATGCCCGTCCAGGCCACGGCAGCACCGGCAAGCCCATAGCAACTACCGCGATGGCTCCCCTCCCCTGGGAGACCCGCGGTGGCGAGATGTTAACTACCTTGCCTGGTATGCGAGAGGTCATGGGTTCAATCCCCAACCACGACGCCTGCATATTTGGAGTTTGCATGTTCTCCCCTTGATCGCGTGGATTTTTCTCAGGGTCTTCCTGTTTCCCCCCCCCCCCCCCCCACATTTAGAAACATGCGGTTAGAGTATTTAGCTGCTATAAATTTCCACACGATAAGCCACTTCGTTCAGCTATCATTTGTGGTCAGGTGGCTTCTGATAAAGAAGCTAATAGCTCAGTGGGCCTTACCTGGTCGAATATTTTTTTTGTATCGACCCACACCGCCGATTATCACGGTTGGCTACGTACGGTGCATAAAAAAGGTTCACCATACATACGCGCAAGTTTTCCCTTCATCACCAATCGTAGGAGTGGGGGGCAAGGGGGGGGGGGCTGAGACAATCAATGTAAGAATGGCAAGCTGATTGTCACCGTCAATGAGAATATGATATTTCGAGGGACTCTTTTGTTCGCATTAAAATAGCGTCCAAGGCTCAGAATGAATTATGTTGACGTGCTGAACGCTGCCGTATCATTCTGAAATGGAATGCTGTTAAAAAGATAAAACCTCCATAGCATTCATTCATTCATCCCTGAAAGCTTCAACTGTTTAGCTTGAATTCCTTAACACAAATGAAGCACTCCATTCTTCAATAAAAGTTCCAAAGTGATTAATTGTCTGGCACCACATTTTCGCGAGAAATGGCTCAAGGATTATAGACACTAAAAGAGCCTACAAACACGTTTTGCCCTTTGATATTACTAATACATCCAATAAGACACGGCTCAATGTTGATAGCATGCCGGTAAAAGTAAAGCGCCAGCCGTGTGGATGCTTAATTTTCATTAAATGTGTTGCACGAGCGAGATTGAACCTTCGCACACATGGCCAGCTTAACCCCTTGCCTTTCCAACGTGCGCCATTATAAACACGTTACCGGCAACGTTGCTTACACGAATACGGCCGTGGGTGCTGCTCCCATGAATAAGCTTGACTCACTGAAGTCTCCGTCATCAGGTGGGACCGTCACAGCCAGATTTGCTGCAAATCTGGCTGTGACGGTCCCACCTGATGACGGAGACTTGTGTTGCCTCCGAAACGTCGTGATTTTTATTTTTTATTTTATTTTTATTAATTTCATTTTTTACCTACGTGACTTTACCGAAAGAACTAAGAGTATGAATCCTTGCAGTCACGAAAGCTTCAAATCTAGAATTGACTCACTGACTTTTCCACCCCATCCAGAGGACTCGGCAGGTCTAACGGACTGACCGCGTCGCCTCATCCACGCTGTGTTCAACCACCACCACGACCACCCCTACACACCACAGGTCACAACAACTCACCCACTCGCTTGCGCACCGCCAATTAGCACGGTTGGATTCGTACGGTGCGAAATAATTTTTAACATACATACACTCGAATGCTATCCCACTCACTCACAAACCCACTCACTCCTCACTCACTCACCGCGATGCCGGTCACAACGCTTCTTCTCTCTCAATTTAAGACACGAATTCACTCTTATCCAAGAGTGCTGTTTGTTGCTGGCTGCTTGGCATTTTGGGCCTTTGTGCATATGCTCACCTAGCTTGATTTAACATAATCGTAATTAAACATACATTTCTCACTTTTGGTGTTTACTCGACAATTTATTATTTCAGTAAATGTTTTGGAATTTGCTTTATAGGCATTTTAAACAATCCAGTACACATTTCGCTTGGCATTACTTACACTGCGTATCAGTGACTCCACTGGAGTCTATGATTGACATCTTACAGGTGTCGGCCTTGTTTTAATTTAATTTACTTTATAAATTCATGGGGGTGGCGGGGGGGGGTCAAACTCGACGTTAGTTTAATATTTTAAATATCTGCCGCAACACTCAATGGACAACTTTGTGAACTCCACAAAGGGGCTCTTATTGTCTTATTTGGGGGTCACAGCATCGCTCTTAACGCCCTTAACTCGGTCCAACGGCACCACTGATTAGCCAGACATGACGCTCCCCATTAAATTTCCTCTTGCCGCAATGTGCAATGTCTCTCTACTCCCGATGGCTGAGTGATGCTCCCCCGGTGAGATTCTTTGTTAAAGGTGAGTGTCTCTCACTGCGTCGGTCACACAAGGACAAGCGGGCGGTCGATCGTCAGCGTCCAAGAGGCGTTAAGGCCGCCTGCGCATCAAAACGAACCTCAAATTCGTTCACGCTTTTCGTTTTTTCTTGTCTCTGCAGCCGCTCCACGCAGATTAACGTGCGAGAATGTGGGCAGTGGGCATCTGGAAACGTGAACAAATGTCACGATAGCCTGCTGACAAATGAACTAATGTGCAAGCGACAATGGGCTGCATACGGCACACTGAATGGTTATAGCCAGCAGAGCCAAATCACGGTACAAAACCGGCCAAAGGCAAGTTGGGCTTTTTTTTACTTGCTTGTATTGTTTCTGTAACACATTACCGGGCTTGAGAGAAGCTGATGTTTCACCCACAGCTGTAGACCTCAAACACTTTGGGACAAAATAATCACGTTTTGTTGTACTCTCCAAGCGCACGTGACTGTGTTTGAAACATTTCACGCAGCGGACGTTTTTGCCGTTGGTCCGTGCTTGCACACCGCGCCGTGCTTCTGAGTCGTGTTTGCAGACCGTGCACAATTGTGCGAGTGATCAAGCGCTGTGCGTGCGTGCGTGCATCAAGGCCAGACATCACTTGCATCACTTACACGACACGTCTGCAGTTGCACGAGTTTCTTTGTGCGCGTGAGTGCGTGCGTAAGTGCATCACCAGTGGGGAGCGGTAGTGTAGCGGTTCGTGCGCTGCGCTACGAACTTGGTGACCCGGGTTCGATTCCCACTCATGGCCAACACCAGTGACGATTATCTGAACCGGTCCTGGGCCTCCCCGAAGTCGACTCAGCCTCAAATGAGTAACTGGTGCGGTGTGTAAAAACATCGCCACTGGTGTTGGCCGCCCACTCCCTCGTATGCCGTGCCGGCCTTCATAGGTGCTCGCTAACAGCACTTGCCCCAACAGTCTGTCAAAGGCTATACGGGGGATCTTTGTCTGTCGATCATAAGATGTGCGCACACGAGGGTGCCACTCAATATGCAAATGGTAAACGTGAAGTCTCAGTCTTCTTGGATCACTCCCTCCCACAACTTGTTACCCGTGGTGTGAAAGTCAACAGCTGAGACTCTCACCCCGCTCTGTGCATAGTCACAGGTAGCTCGAAGTGCCCCCCTACCTCCTCCCGCTCATTCTTCTCTCCGTCCGTGCCTCTGCGTTTATTGGAGCAAACGGTAACCGCTGAGTGGATTGCCGTTAAACTCACAGCAGCAGCAGCAGCAGCAGCCTCAGTTTAACTGGAGAATGAATAAAGCCAGGAGGGCAGTGACCTTGAAAATAACAAACTAGAATTTCGAGTGGCACCCCCTGAGTGAGCGTGTGTACATGAGCGTGCATGAGAGTGCAACGGTTCGTGCGAGGGCAGTTCCTCGTATTAAGTCCAAATCCGAGGTGAACGTTTGAGCGTCATCCGAACAGCACATTATGGGGCTGTCAATTTGAAGGCAAGTATAGTTTTAGGAAATGTCAATTATCAGCGGTTTGGCAGCGTACACGGGACTTGAGCGCGCCGCCGTCGTCCGAGTCTGTCCGAGTCTCTCCAAGTCCGTCCGAGTACGCCCGACACCACCGCGGTATTTCATGAGAATTTCACCCTCACCGAGAAAGGTGGACATATTCTTTCTGTGTGAGAAGTGCGCAGCCACTGGAGCTAGTGCATTTTAAAATCTAGTCTGAAAACTCATTTCTTGAGAACTGCTTTTTGTGTTTAGTTTGTTGTCCTTCGTTCCGCATCTCCGATTAGCACGGTTGCCTACGTACGGTACGAAATAAGTTCAACATACATATAACTGGTTCACATATTACGCCCCAAGTAAAAAATCTGCTTCATCACTACACTAACGATTAACCCACACATTATAAAGTGTCAGAAATGTGGACATCTGAAATCACTGAAGTGCCCATGCTGTTTCGATCACAGCAAACCACCTAGTTGAGTGTGACTCACCATGGCGTGTCAACATGGGACATGAGTAGACCAAGATGGTTTGGTGTGGTGATGACCCAACATCTATGACTCCTAATCGCACCTTCCTACCACCATTCTGTGCAGGCTCCGGGAGCCGGGCAGTTGGAGGCAGTCGCCCTCGAACAATAACGGAGGGCGGAGGAGCGACGCACGCACAACAACGAGCGGAGAGCCGGGCGGTTCGAAACAAAGCAAGTTGGCACAGCGTGGGGGAGCAGCAGGTGGTGCATCTGTCGGTTGTCTCAGTTGGTTAACCCGTAAACACATATTCTTAAAACTCAACACACTCGTTAACAGCGTACGGCTGGTGACGTTTTGGGCAACGGCCCTTCTGCACAGCGCACGTGCCGAGTTTTGTTGTCGTCGTCGCTGCTGTTAATTGTGCAGCAGCAGCAGCATCACCACCAAACAATTTGCCCAACCCATAACGGCAACACCTGGGCGCCCGTCCCGTGACTTGCTGCCAGCGACGCCTTCGAGACGACGTCAAAGCTCACCGTAGCCTGGCGCGAGCGCGGTGGCGACGTCGCTGCTGCTGCTGTTGTTGCTGCTGCTGCTGTTGCTGCTGCTGTTGTTGTGCCGTACCTTCTCAGTGGCGCAGCACGAGTATGGGACCCCGCAGGCCGCCTTGCCCGGAGCAGAGCACAGGTGGTAGGGGTTGTACTCCCAGTCCGTGTACGAATCCGCTCCGCAGCACTGAAACTGCGAGACACAAAAGACAAAGATAAAGATACCACCCCCCCCATACAGCCTTTAGCAGACCATTCGGGCAAGTGCTGTGAGCGAGCGCCGATGAAAGCTGGCACGGGCACACGAGGGGGTGGGTGGCCAACACCACGCCCGGCCGCCTTTGTTCCCCCGGTTCTGATGTTTTACACACCGCGCCAGGTACTCATGTAAGGCTGAGTCGACCTAGGGGAGGCCCAGGACCGGTTCATATATTCGTCACTGGTGTTGGACCACGAGAGGCAATCGGAACCGGGTCGCCGGGTTCGTAGCGCAGCGTAGCGCTCACCACCGCACCAAAATACCAAATGTGCCTCAGGATGCCACATGGTGTTGATGGTCAGACATCGTGAGCATTCGTGTTCGCGTGGAGTTGTTGTAATCTGTGAACAGATTAGACGCAGTCAATGGCTATTATTCGTGAAAATCTAATCCTGAAATCACCTCATAATGAGCTCTAAATCACCAGTTGCCTGTAAATGTACAGGCCGCAAGTCAATCCACTGCTGGATGAGAGGAGACCCCCGCGAGGTTTATTTGACCAAACGTCGCCACTCTGGTCACGTGGCTTGGTGAGAGGTGGTGGGAGAACTGCAGACCAGCGGATGTTTATTCATGGCCCTCCACTGCCCACAGCGCCTACTGCACCCATGTTTGGTTTGCGTGCAACACAAGTCAACCCGTCCGAGCGCTATCCAGGCTCAAGGCCACTTAGCTTCTGAGAATTTGATGATATCGGGTCACAGGAAATAACGAAGTCATTGGTCAGTTTAACACGTAGGGCTTTCGCGACCAATATCATCCATAATAGAGGTTTTTTTGGGTTAGATCGTGTAAATATCTAAATGTGTCGTTAAAACCCGCCACCACCCTGACACAGCCAACTAGTAAGGGTTGTCACGTAAACAGAACATGGCCAATTCGTCACTACTACAGCACACCGGTGTGTTGGAGAGCCAAGCCACAACATTTACAATCTGAGCCAAGCCACAACATTTACAATCTGAGTATCGGTGTGCTGTACTCGTGACGAATTGGCCACGTTCTGTTAACGTGACAACCATTACTAGTTGTCTGTGTCGGGTGGTGGCGGGTTTTAATGACACGTTTATATATTTACGCGCTCTAACACCAAAAAAAAACCTCTCTTATAGAAGTCATTGGTGTTTGAAATGTCGATTTCCCAGGCAGAGAAGCATGCGATACGAGGGGGGATGGTGCTCACAAGTTTACACGGATGGGTTACGACCCCCATTTGCTGTGCGGCCGTGTCTTGGCCACCTAACAGCATGCAGTCTGACCAAACTAACAAACTCGGAGAGCCATTGTAAAAATCACTGTCTACTTTGCGTCAAACGCGCCTCGTTTAACAAATGGCTTACGCCAAAGGTGATTGGGATTTGACTCACAACCTTACAACCATTAGCCCGCCCACTCTAGAGAATGAGACGTCATAATGAAGACGTGCAAAAAAAAAATCAGTAATGGGATAATAAAAATTAATAATTGTGAATGGATAGATCACGTGGTGGTCAGCAGGCTCCCCACGGAGCCAGATTGCACCAAGTCAATAATAGTGTATTCCGACAGCATGCCAATTTTCGCAGGGAATTATCATCGCAGCCTTTCGCTCTGAAGAAACAAGTAAGTTTGAGAGTCTGTGCTCGCACTATCACCATCATTGTTTTTATTATTGATATGAGTAGACCACTGTGTGTCGGTGTGAGCAGTCGCCCCGACGTTTTAGGCATTCCACCATCCAGTATGTTTAAAAGTATAGCACCCATTTTATTTATGTATGTACATTGAACTTCTTTAGCACCATACGTAGCCAACCGCACTAATCGGAGGTATGAGGGAAGGACAACAAGATAAACACAAAAAAGCAGTTCTAAAGAAATGAGTTTTTAATCTAGATGATTTAAAAGTGCGTAGCTCCAGTGGCTTCCTGATATCGAAAGGAAGAGCATTCCAGACGGCCGCAGAAGCGCATTTGAGAGCACGCGATGCGGTGACCGTCTTTATTTAGACTAACGACCTCTTATTATTACGTAAAAAAAACGCAATTATTACAATACACTTATATCGGTGAAATTCCGGTAATCGCATTCGCAAGAGAACAGGCCCAATGTGGGTCCCCTCTCTTGTGTGAGGTCCTGGGGACATTGCCCCAGGATGACCTCTGCCAGCCGACCTTTCCCGCTGGGTGACCAATGGATGTGAGAGCCAAAATCCGCCACTTAAACAAATGACCCACAATTGAATTATAAACCAAATTGTGAAAAAAGCAAAATACATGTCCGTATGCCACCGTGTTCACCTATATTTTTCTAGTTTTCTAAAAGCCATACAACCTGCTCGTTTTCCACGTTGTTTAATGAAAACAAAACATATTTTGTTCTTTCTTCAATAATTGCCCTCGGTGTACATATTTAGAGTTGTGTCCCTCCAACACAATCTTCTTCCCCTGTTGAGCAAACTTACTGGTTGCTTTGTTTTGCTCATTTTTATTTTTAGTGCAAATTTGCATCTTTCTTTGTTATATGATATGTTATTTTCAACGTGTAACACGCCGCACAGCGTGAGTTAATTCTTGTACAGGCGCGCGGAGGGACCACAGACATTTGTAAAAGCAGCCAGGTGGTGAATCAGCACTACCAACAATTGCCAAAGCTCTGTAGGTCCTCTATATATAAAGGTGTTATCGGCCAATTCATGAGTATTTAAACATGCCAGAGGAAGCCAGAGGAAGCCAGAGCACCCGGAGAAAACTCACACGTGGGAGGGGGAAACACTTTATCCCATACTGGTGGAACTGGTGGAGTCAACATTTGCTGTACTGCCTTCTCTTGACGAGTCGGGATGTAACCCATCGATGCCCACCGGAAGGGAGTTTCATATTACTTGTGTGCCACCCACCAACCCTTGCCTCTGGATTTCAGGCGTGTGCCACCACCAAACTTGTTAAGTTCATCAGTCATTTCCATTGTCACGAGCACATCTGAGGCGTTTCATCATTTCCCTGTCAAGGTTTATGCCTTTATTTATGACATCGTTATCCTGCCAAAAAGTGGCGGCATTATGTGGCCAAAAAAGCTATACAAATCCGGCCGGAATTCAAAAAATGATTAAGGTAATTTAACGCAGCTATTTACAGAAAAAATATTACATTGCTTAAGTAAAGCAATTTTGGCGATGAAGAGGTTGACGTTTCAGATGTCACACTTGAATAATGGAATACCGCCCTTCGAAATTAAAAATAGGAATGTTCCTGGACCAGTTAGGATATCTGTGGACATCATTAAAGAAGTGGGACTAACTGTTTAACAAAATTAACGAAGCTATTTCATCAATGATTCCACACAATTGAAATACTACCTACATCAATCATTCTTCTGTCCAGAAATAGGAGCACAAATATGATCTGAAGAATTATAGAACCATCGCTGACTATCACACAATCTGTAAAAATAATTATTGATATCGAAACCGACCACGCGAGTGAGCTGGATTTAGAAAGACCCCTTAAGTACCATCAATACATTTTTTGCAAAAGACTAATTTAAACGCTTAGCTTTTTGTAGCCTATAAACATGGAATTTTTTTTGTACGCAATGGGATATTCCTCCGTTTGGCCAATTCAAGTTGAGGGGGATGATCATTTTTCTGACAAATTTGAGCCCTGGGGGGAGGGGGACCCCAAGTCGCCGGGTGCACAGATTGAATTTCAATCGAGGTCACACGAGACAGAAAACTCATTCCGTCACGTTCCCTCGCTAATTCGTGCACACGTCGGCGTATCGTGGAGATCTTTTAGAATCTGCGCTTACGCAAGGGATGCACTCTTATCACGCTCACAGACTCGATGTCTCGTGCTAATACAGCACGCGCGATTATATGATTGCGCTGGATATTAGAATTGGAGACCCTTGCCGGAGTCAAACTGATCCAACTGACACGGTCCATAAACTGCCCAAATTGAGTCCCAGCAGGAGGCAGTTGGTGACCTTTCTTAACGAGGGTCGTCTTTTACATCGCCCCAACATCAACAACAATAACAAAAACGAATTCATCAATTGCCAAGTCAAGCGGCTCGGCGTCATTAAATGCAATAGGAAACACATTGAAGTTTCCATTTCCAGGGCAAAAGGGCCAAGCAAATATATAAACGAACATGTTTATTGTCAAAATGAACAAGCCAAACGAACCACAAATGGACAAATCTATTTGTGTTTAGGCTTGTAAAGGGGCAGCCCTGAAATTCCTTGCTCGTGCCACTGCTGGCAGAAGGGCAATTCAAGTAGTCGGCTTATGGAGAAACTGAACCATGTCACCACTGGAATGTGGAATTTCCATCACGGATTCATGGTCACGAACAGAGATGATCTCTCCATAATGCTCATTCGAGCATGGAAGGAACTTTCATTTTTTTTGTATTGTCTGGTGCAGTATGTTTTTGTTTGTTCATGGGAACTTAAATTTTTTTGTATTGTCTGGTGCAGAATGTTTTTGTTTGTTCATGGAAACGTTAATCGAATTCATAAGACACTTTTCAAAAGCAAGGCAACACACACACACAAAAGCCACCTGCGACTATTATGAACGTGTGATGGAAAATGGATTTGCATGTGAAAAGATGATGTGCTATTTCACGAACAATAGCTGTGACTGCTGGGGCGAACCCTGATATCAATTGAAGAGTCGGGACATGACTTGCGGGGTGCATGAAGGCGAGGAAAGCTTAATGCCAGCATATTCACGTCTGAGCTTTACGCGGTTCAACAGTCCACACTCTCCCTGCAGCCTTCATTATAACGACTTGCGTAAGAACGACTCCAATACCTGCACTGAACACGTGCAATCAAGGTGAAGCCTTGAAGGATTTGTTGATCCACTCCACACGTCTCTACGCTCCACGTCAGAATCACAACATTAATTTATACTTGGGGAATCCGATGAGCTATGAAGCTCTTTTT